TAATGATAGCTTGAACTATAAGCTTGGCATTTAAAATTTTTTTTCTTAGGCTTTATTTGTGAATCTAGTTTCACTCATAGGACAGTGTTAATATTGAGGGTTGACATATGTGCTAAATTTAGACTTCAAAGGTTCTCTTGCAACTGAGAAGGGTATACTAGTCTCCCAACTCTGTCTCCCATATGAAACCCATTTTTCTTTAGTTACTCTTATAAAAGCTGCCACTTTAGAAAACAAATGAGAAAGGACAGCAGTGATCTAAATCTGGAAATTCAAGGATGAAGCTGCATCTGCCATAAATAGATGCATTCAGCTCTGGTATTTAGTCCAGATGAGATACTGGGTCACCCAGAGAGATGAGGGCCTCAGCACCCCAAGGGACAATAGGCCACGTCAGGAGCTGCTTTTACCTTCAGCTCTGAATTTCCTGCTCTTTATCAGTCTAAATCAGCTCCTGTGTTGAGTGCTTAGTGTTTTGCTAATCAGCTTCAAGGGCAGCAGCCACACTACTTGGTTGAGAGCTCAGTTGAGACAGTTTGTGGGAAAGAACTGCTTTTTCATGGGGTAAAAGGGGAAAGTATGCATGATCCTAAGAAAAATGCTCCGCTAGAACTTGGTTTGTATAAAAATCTACGTAGTTATTTTTGATTTTTAACTTCTTAGGGATTGTAACTTGTAAAATAATGGAGTGAAATTAAAATATTTAAAAATATTCTTTTAGAGCATGTCAATCCCAAATGCACTCTCAGGTACACAGATAAGCTGAATGTCTTGGTGCCATAGAAAAGTGTGCCGCTTTGCCCATTAGTTGTTCTCTGAAAACAAAAAAGTAATCACTGCCAGGGTCCAGGGTGTACAGACACTTCACCCTTTACCAAGTCAAAGAGGGTCTCTTCAAGTGGTTAATTACTTCCTGAACCACAGATTCACCAGCCAGTTTTCAGAAAGGGCCTTGACTTGTTAATGAGACCAGGGCTACTTCACTATCTATTTAACCACTTCAGTGTGGCGCTCACCAGCCGCGAAGCCTCGCCCACAGCCGGCACTCACAGTCCGCACGGTAGCGCGCACTGTGCGTTGACGACGGTTCCGTTTTGCGCTTGTGTGATGAGGAAGGCTTTAAAGCACTGAAAGCCTGTTTTACTTTACAGGCAGCTTTACTTGTAATGTAAATCAGAATAGGTAACATAGACATCTATGTTTTCATGAGATTATTTTTAAATGCTCACAATTTTATTTTGATAAATGAAAAATTAGAAAAGTCGTATCACGGCTGTCTGCTAAAGTCACTGTGCGAGTTCATCTGTGGCTGTCGACTACAGTCGACACTGGTCCCGAAGTGGTTAAAGAACAGAATTTTATAGATGGTCTGACAGTATTTCTTTGTCCTGAGTTAACGCGTAATGCCATCGTCATCAAAGCATTGAGTAATTAGACACGCACACGTCAACTGTACGTTTTGGGCATCTTACTGCTTTAGGAACAAGTGCTTTGTGAGCTGTTCATGGAGCCTTTTATGGACCCGTCTTTGCCGCTGGTGTCTTTCCGTGTTGGAACGCTATGACAAGCTGTATTATAAGAGTTCACGGCCTGTGACTGGATGTGATTTTGCTTCCTCGGTAATAATTAGCTCACTGAATAAATATTTATTTGAACATTGACTATGGGCCAGGCACTGCGTGTGGTTAAGAACAGTCAGATGTTCTCGGCTCCCAGAAAGATTAAGGAAACGGAGATTTCCTGTATTACCCTGAATCCCATCAGCGAGTGTTTGCCATTCCAGAACATTCCGTGGAGGAATGCATTTGGGGTGGAACTACCTAAGCAGGATGAATGAACGCTGAATTATCTTACCTTTAGATCAGAACTGTTTGAATATAAACTTTTTCATTTTGAGATGATTGTAGGCTTACATGCAATTGTCAGAAATACAGAGAGGCCCTGTGTATCCTTTATCAAATTCCCTCAATAATAATGTCTTGTAAAACGATAGCATAATATGACAACTAGGATACACTGACATTAATAAAGTAGACTTTCTGACACTGAAACCTTCCTGGGCAAAGGGAAATGCTGAACCTAACATCCGTAGAGTTTTTATGTCCCCTAATGGAATTAACTTAATGGTTCGTTATTTTTTCATCCTATACCACGTCACCTCTGCCCTTGAAACTGTCGAGGCTTTTGCTCTGTGACTGCGCTCACTCAATAGACATTGGGCATGCACATGCTACGTGTCAGGTACTCTTGGAGATGGTGTAACAGTGGCAGATAAGGTAGACGTGATACTTGCTCTCGTGGAGCTTATGTTACGGCCATGGGGACAGTATACAAAATGAGTAGTCATGTACAGGAACCTCTAGGCAAAGGGCCGAGGCTAGAACAGCTGGAATCATCTTCATTTCTTGAGCTGGTGTCTCTTTGGCAGCTGCACCTCCAGCAGGTGTAGGCTTCATCTTTTCCTTACTCTGTTCACTTTTCCAGCCGATTCCTAGCTTCTAAAAACTCTGTTTACACCCATCCCCTTGTGCTCCCCTTATCTGTTCTTTGCCCTTATGGGTATATTTGATACTCATTTACTCTGTTAGTGGGAGGAAGCAGAGATAAATGCCTGTGTTCAATTCTCCAAGTCAAAAAGAAGAATTCCTGTGTTTTGTTTGAGACAAGGTCTCTCTCTGTCACGCAGGCTGGAGTGCAATTGTGCAGTGCGGTCACAGCTCGCTGTAACCTGGAACTCCTGGGCTCAAGCAATCCTCCCACCTTAGCTGCCCAAGTAACTAGGACCACAGGCATGCACCACCTTTTTTTTTTTTTTTTGTAGAGATGGGGTCTCACTATGTTGACCAGGCTGTTCTCGAACTCCTGGCCTCAAACCTCTCCCTCCTCAGCCTCTCTAAGTGCTAGGGTTACAGGCATGAGCCACCACACCCAGCCCTCACGTTATATTTCTATTGGATAGCCCAACGGGCCCTTCCTCATTATTTTATTCTAAACTCCACATGGATACCGCCCCAAGGTAGAGCTCATGGCACTTCTAAAGGACACACACTATATATTTGTTACTTAATCAAATGCATTTCCTCCTCCTGTGCAGCAGCTTTCTCTTTTGAATAACAACACTCAAAGTACTATTTTATTACGGAACTGCCTAAGCACAACGGAATCATTAATGGTATAAAATGAATCGCAGCTCTTGCTGGCGAAACCAGGCACGATTGAGGAGAGAGGCACAGACCAAAACGTGCGAAACGTGCGTTACTTTTCTTCAGCTGCCTTTGGAGTGGGGTCCTCAGGGGCTGATCGTCTGTGCTAGCCAAGTCACAGCAACCGACAGAACACAGGGAGGTGTCCAGCCCACCAAGAAGACCTGGACCCAGTTCTGCCAAAGTTCTTTCTCTTTCATAAAACCGGTAACACGAAGCTGAGAACCACCATGTAGATATACTAGTGGTATCAGGATTGAGATGTGCCTTGACTTGATAGGTCCTAGGAATAATTTAGGTATTGTCAATGTGATTTGATCAAGCCAGATTAAAACTGGTTAACAGGGAGCACTAGGCTATGTACTTTTGAACAGATTTTTTTCATATTACTACTAAAGACTCCTAATTTTTGGTAATCAGTAGACTTTAACTTACCCTCAGTGGTCATTTTCAAAAGTCATGTGATCCACATGCATATGAATAGCTGAACACATGCCCACAAATAAACATGAGGTCACCTGGCTTGCAAGATGCTTTAAGGTCTGTGGGTAGAAGGTGCTCTGACATAGTGGGTAACTTGTGCAACAGTACCTGAGATTTCCTTCTGCATTTGCATGCTTAAAATGCCGGGGTGGTCAGAGCCCTCCCTTGGAAGCCATCTCTTGCTTGGTATATGCAGACCTGCAGCAAGAATGGGCCAAAGTCAGTGAAAACCGTTAAGTGTATGTATATATGTGTGTATATATACACACACAGAGAAATTCACATGACATAAAATTCACCATTCTAAAGTGTAAATTGTTATTTATAGTATAGTCACAAGGTTTTACAATTATCATGATGATCTAATGGCAGAACATTTCTATCATCCTAAAAAGAAACCTCATACCCATTAGTACTCACGCCTCATCCCTTCTTCCTCCCAGCCCAAAGCAACCATTATTCTATTAATACTTCCTGACTGCAGATTTGCCTATTCTGGACACGTCAAAAAATGGAATAATACACTATGTGGGGTTTTTGCTTTATTTAGCGTAGTGTTTCCAAGGTTTATCTCTGTCATAGCGTTGTCAGCACCTCATTTCTTTTTATGTCTGGGTAATATTTCGTCACACAGATATGCCAAATTCCGTTCATTTATCTGTTGGTGGGCACTTGGATCATCTCTACTTTTTTGGCTGTCGTGAATAATACTGATGTAAATATTTGTGTCCATGTGAATATGTGTTTTTAATTCTCTTGGATATATACCTAAGAATGGAATTGCTGGTTATACGGTAACTCCGAGTTTAGTCATCTGATGGACTGACAAACCGTTTTCCGAATACGTTGCATGGTTCCCTCCAGCGGTGCATTCCTTCCTTCACATCCTCGTGGGCACTTTCCTGACTTTGTGATTACAGCCATTCTGGTGCGTATGAAGTGGTATCTAGTTGTGGTTTTGGTTTCATTTGACGTTGAGCATCTTTTCATATGCTTACCCGGTGGAAACCGGTGGCCATTCACATATCTTCTTAAGAGAAATTCAAATTCTCCCGATTCAGATCCTTAGCCTACTTTTAAAACCTGGATTATGTGTCTTGTTACCTGTTGAACTGTAAGCTCCTAAACCTATTAAGGTAAATCTAATTTAGGTAAAACATTCACTGCTCCAGGAAGACCAGAGGGTTGTGGTTTGGCTTTAATTAATTAATCCTTTTCAGGTACTTTACGAAGTTCTTGAAAAGAGCCCTCTTTCACAGAATAGCTGAGAACTAGAACCTAGGTTACAAATCCCATTCCAAGAGCCAGCGAAGAGGACCCAGCTGATCTCCCCTGAAAATCCTTCCTTCTGTGCTTGGCAGCAGCTCCCTCGACCCCTCATCGCTGAGCCCAAGAGAGTGACTGAAGCTCTCTGCTCTGAGAAGGAAGCAGCCGCCTTGGGTGTGGTAGGGCACATCTTTTTTGTTAAGACCACAAAAAGGAAAAAGTGAAACAGGGCCGGGCACGTGGCTCACGCATGTAATCCTAGCACTCTGAGAGGCCTAGGCGGGAGGACGGCTCAAGGTCAGGAGTTAGAAACCAGCCTGAGCAATAGTGAGACCCCTGTCACTACTAAAAATAAAAAGAAATTAGCTGGACAACTAAAAATATATAATAGAAAAAATCAGCCGGGCATGGTGGCGCATGCCTGTAGTCCCAGCTACTCGGGAAGCTGAGGCAGGAGGATTGCTTGAGCCCAGGAGCTTGAGGTTGCTGTGAGGTAGGCTGATGCCACAGCACTCTAGCCCGGGCTAGAGTGAGACTCTGTCTCAAAAAGAAAAAGAAAGAAAGAAAAGAAAGAGAAACAGGACGTGTGGAGACCTGAAGAGTCCAGGATCTGATGCTGCTTTAGAAGTTGGTTCCCCTGGTGAGGGCTGGTGACGAGTCCTTCATGGCGGAGCCACAGGACCCTTCAAAGCTGGCCGATGCTGGGGAAGACAGGAGTATGGGTCAGTTGGTGCACGAACACTCGATAATTGCTGATTTAATAAGTCCTTTTATTCAATCGCTTCCATAGGAGGGCCGTTTGGTGCCTGAAATGCTGATTGTGCGGACTCCCCTACACACCCCCATGGAACCCACACACATGCGTATGTCCGGCTCCTGGAGGCCACGGCCGTTCTTGGGGTGCTGCTGTCAGCACAGCTCTCACATGGGCTCAGGTCTCCCGTGTCCTGCCAGCCGCGGTCCTTTCCGTCAAAGCGCTCACTCTCTAGTGCCACACACAGACGCTGAAATGGCCACGTGTTCTACAAGGTAGCATCAGGTAAAACAGGGACCGATGTCATCTACCTGGGGATACCAGTGAAGGCCTCACTGATGAGGTGACGCTTGGCTCAGGGCTGGTGTGGCTGACAGGTCCTCGCCAGAGATGTTTGCTGGTGGGGGAGGGAAGAAGAAATGAAACTCCAGCACACGGGGTAGAAGCCTCTGTCTCTGGGTTTGCAGCCCGGCCTGCCATCAGCTTAAATATTTTGGCCCCCGTTGGAGTGAAAAGCAAAGGTGGAATCACGGTCAGCCCTCCTTAGTGCAGGAATAGGAAAAAGCAACTGACCTCCACATTTTCTTGCCTTTGATTTTATGTTTATCAAGGGAAATCTTGTTTTCGTTTTTATAGCAAATGTTTATGACTTTGAACCAGGAACTCGCGGGCCTGCCTCTCTCCTGTTTCCCGAGCTACTGGTTTTGCGATTGTGCAAGACTTTGTGAGAGGGTTTCCAGCCACATCAAAGGGCAGGGCTGCCTTTCCTGAAACCCAGGCCTGCTCCGGATCCCGCTCTGGGATCGTTCTCACCTCCTTCCCAGTGGCTGCTTCCCTCAGGGAAGGACTAGCTCCAAACACCCAACTAAGGTGAGATTTTCCTGCTGCCTGACGCTGGCATCCCAGCATTAAAAGGTGTTGTGGCTCCTTATCAGCTTTTCAGCTTCAAGCAACAGAGCAGAGCTGTTTCCGCAGGCCGAGCAAGTGTGCACTCAGCTGCCCACCGCAGCCCTGGTTGCGGGCAGGGGGAGCAGAGTTACCAACAGCACGGACGGCACCTACGGGAGACCCCTGGGGTCTAAACCAATCCTTAGAGATAAAATCGGGGCTGGGATTTAGTTGAGATCGTATTCCTCAGGAGAAACTCAGATGAGGAATAATGACAATGACCGACACCACCTATTGATGGCCCACTCTAGGCCTGGTGCTAAGACACCCGATCACATCTCACTCAGCTCTACCTGGCAGGTATGTAGCACTGTCCCTGCTTCACAGATGAGGAGACGGAGGTTCTGGAAGGCCGGGATATCTCCACGGCACGTCTGCCGTGCTCTGGCCTTCAGACTCAGGTCTGGCAGACTCTGGGACCCACACTCTTTCCCGCCACACTGGTGATTCTATCCCGGGATGCCCTGGAGTAGAGCACCTCACTGTCCCTGCTCCACTGTGAGAAACCGAGGATGGCCACCGGCCCGCATATGAATCTCTCTCTGCCACTTCCAGGCAGTGCTGCCACTTGCTATTTGTCCCCAGATTCCTTTGGTGCCACCCAGTTAATAGACACATTCCCGGGCAGAATTTGGTGTCATTTTTGGTGACTTGGACAATGCTCATGTCTTTGCCTGTGTCAGACACAATCACAGAGTTGCTTTTGTTTTTGTCTTTATCCATCCTGGTTAAAAAATGACCTTGTCTCATGTTGACGTCCTGTGAAGTGGTTTATGTTTGAAAGGATAACACCAAGGGCCTTGCTGTGAATGTCAGGTCAGCCTCTGGCCACACCAAGGTCCAGGTGGTGGTCCCAGGCCAACTTCTAGCTGTCAGGGGCTGCGCATCTCTTTCTGGGAAGAGAAGGCTAAGAGAGACATGGGTGGTCAGCATTTCCATTTTCTGGGAATCCAGGCAGAGAGTTGCTGTGGTGTGCTCAGCATCTCTTTCTGGGAAGAGAAGGCTAAGAGAGACATGGGTGGCCAGGATTTCCGTTTTCTGGGAATCCAGGCAGAGAGTTGCTGTGGTGTGCTCAAGACAAACAAGGGGGGGATGGTCATGATGGAGACTCAGACTTTTGGGGGAGGGGAGGAAATGGGCATTTATTGAAACCTTAAAATCTGTATCCCCATAATATGCCGAAATAAAAAAAAAAGAAATAG